ACTGCGAACTCACTCTGTCATGTGGCACTGAGGTCTCAAACCCGGGCTATCATAAACCCAGCATCTTTAATCTCTCAGCCATTGCGCACACACACACACACACACACACACACACAGAGAGAGAGAGAGAGAGAGAGAGAGAGAGAGAGAGAGAGAGAGAGAGAGAGAGAGATCTTTATATATGGTCTTCATTTAAGGTTTTAATAATAAAGGGGTTTTTTCCTTTAACATTTTTGTATTTGCCAATTTTTTACAGTTTGTCAATATATATTTGTATTTTGCTTTCCTTCCTTTTTTTCCCCTCTTTCTATTCACAAAGAGATTTTAAAAAGGAAAAGGAAAATTTATTTCTTTATTACACCACCTTTATTATTTTTATAAATGATATCCAACGCACCCTCCTATTTTCCCCAAAACAACAACCCTCTGAGGTGGGTTGGGCTGAGAGAGATGAACTGGCCTAAAGTCACCCAGCTGGGTTTCATGGTTAAGGCAGGACTTGAACTCCTGGTCTCCCACTTTTTAGCCTGATGACTTAACTAAACATGCCAAAAAAAAACCCCACCTGCAATTATCAAATCATCTGCATTGAATTGCCAAGAAATTGACCTGAAATCATCATACACAAGGGCTTTTTTACCATTCCTGTTCAGCCATGATAGTCACTTATGCTCAGAAGCCTCTTCCTTGGTGGAAGCTGGATTGTGCTTTATTTGTTTGAGATCAAAAGGGAGAGAGATTTGATGCTAGGATATGTTAAAGGAATCATTTTATTTAAACAATCTATCATAAACCTGCCTGGTTCACTGCAGATTACCAATTAAGAACGGATAGGCAGGCCACATCTGAACAATATAATGAATAACTTTAAAATATTAGTGAGTTGCTGTGAAGGTGGCTAGAATTCGCTTTTAATTCACTTTTTTAAAATATCAGCACTACCAAAATGATTCCTTGAGTCACCAGCCGTGTCAAGGAAGACAAGGGCGCCCTCTCGTGGACGAGAGTGCCCTCAGACAAGGCAGGATGCATTGAAACAAAGCAGACGTTTACTATCTTTTCTAGAGTTTAGATTTTAGAACAACTTAATATCCTCCAGACGTCACCGTGTCCAAGTGAATTCTAGTCCAATCTGTTCACAGGAGACCAGATTAGGGAATAATCATTCCTTAATTATTATTTTTTTCATAGTGAACTTCGTTTAGTTAAATCTAACTCTTAACATTAGAGATACTGTACTGCTTCTAAGCTGCCTTGTGGCTGAAGTTCTACAGCCTGTAATTTGCTATTTGAGGAAAATGAAATCACTGCTTCCCTTGAGGAAAGGGCAAATGATATTCCCAAAGCAATCAAGGCATGCAGAGTGTGGGCTGCAGAGGCTATCTGTATCCCCAAATCGTGTTTTGGCAGTCCCTTTTGATAACAACGGCCCGAAATTGCCCAGTGTTATTTCCAACTTATAAATGACTTGCTTATAGAAGTAGTTATGTATAGAATATTGCAGTGAAATAGGGTCATCCTTTATTGATACTGTTGTGTAAAATCACACAAACAAAATTATATATGTATGACAAGCTGTCACGTATATTCAGGTAGTCCTTGGATTATTACTATTCATTCAGGCAATCGTTCCAATTTACAACAGTGCTGAACCAGTGATACTTACAAACAATCCTCCAAATTCTGGGCATTCCAGCACCCCCCCATCACATGATCACTATTCAGGAGCTTGGCAACCAGTTCACACTTATGGTTACATGATCACAATTTCCAACATCCCTTGAGGATTACCCACAAGCAAAGTCAATGGGAAAGCCAGCAGGAAATCAGAAGTTGTATTCATATGAGATCTTTATGGTCCATGGTGATTTGCTTAATGATGGCAACTGGAATTGTTGAACTTCAGTCACTACTAAGTGACACGGTCACATGACATCATGTTTTACAACTGTGTCACTTAGCAACAGCAAGTCCCAATTGCCATCATAACCCAAGGACTGCCTGTAATTTGTCTATTGTTGTATTGATTATTTTTCTATTTGTTCTGTTTTATTAAATAAAGCCACCCATCCACCTACCTACTCACCCAGCAGCCCAATATTGTTGGAATTTTTTCTTGAAAGTTGACGGGTGGCCCCTTCACAAAATTGAATGTATTTTTAAGAGGGTTTTTTAAAAAAAATTCATCACAAACCTAGGAAGAAAGGGCCTGGCAAGGCCCTGCTCATTTTTGCATTATGTCTCAGCCTTTCCCTCCCAATTGTTAGGTGTAGCTACTCAACTCAACTTTGCCCAACTCTGATATATGTCACAGTGCCAACTACCAAGCCAGAATTTGGTTTAAGCCAACTGCTGGGTTCAGAGCCATTGGGTGGGGCAAGGCAATGTCTGAGACACTATGATTTAGCTTTTGATAAAGTAGGTAGAATAATAGTATTTAGTTAAAGCAACAGAACTAAATAAATATAATCTAGCCATTCATTCAGTGAATTTTTGCCTTAGTTTCCTGCTAGAGCACATGGTGATTTACTTAGGCGACGAAGCTGATTTGGGGGCAGGGAAGAACTGAGCCATTAAGGGGTGGTCTTGCAGAAAAGCTCACACAGTCCTGAAAAAAAGAACTTCCAAACCATCCCATCTTCATTTTGTTTAAGATGGAGCAAAAAGAAACGTGGATAGGCTTTCCATGCTCTGCTAGTCTACCGTCTGCAATGAAAAACAACGGTGGAAACCCCACCATGCCTTTTTCTTGATCTTGTCAGAATAAGAGACTTGGAAGAGAACTTGGAGGTTGTCCAATCTCTTCTTAAAAACCTCCAGTGTTGGAGCACCCAAAACTTATGGGGGCAAGTTGTTCCACTGATTAACTGTTCTAACTGTCAACCTACTTCAAAAGGGCTGCGCGATCTCCCTCCATTTTAAAACTACAGCTACATGTGGGATGGGAGAGTGAATGACTGTCTGACAGTCATCTAGTGATTGTGACACAAGATCTGAGCCGGTGTCTTCCTGCTCCTAGTCCCACACCTTCACCACCCCTCCAGAATTGTCCTGCACACTCCAAGGCCACAGACTTCAAGGGACACGAGCCAATTAAGGGAAGCCATGTGCTAAATAAATAATAAGGGAAGAGAAAATGTGGTGCTCTCAATCTCAGTGTAAGGGAAATGGAGAAAAGGTGGGAGCTGAAACTGATATTTTACCAATGAGTCTTCCCAGGTTTGGATCTCAAAAACAGATCCTACCTTCAGTCAGAATACAATGAACCAGCCTCTTTGTTCAGACTTTCAAAAACATGCCTCTTCAAGCTGAGAAAACAGAATCTTGTCTTATTCGCTGTGCCCTGGGGAAAGCTGGCAACCTTCAAAGCTATATCTAGTTCTGCTAACCTCTTTCCTCTTCCCTGATGGCAAGCGTGTTTTTCTTAGGATTGACGCAAAAGATTTTTTAATGTGGCTGTGTAGGGCGTGTGCTTCACCCAAGCTTACTTCCGTTGGAGCATCTGAATAGTATATAAAGACATGAGTATAGCAGCAGGCTGACTTGAAACTGGTTGGACATAATGAGGCCACAGCAGAAGCACCGAAGTTATGAAGTGACCCTTTGCTCTGACCCCTGCTCTTGCTAATTCACTAGATATGGATATCAGAGCAAGTACTAAGTCTTCAGAGTCCCCGGGTTGTGTTTTTTGTTTGTTTGTTTGTTTAAAACAAAGTAGACAGCCATGCAAGAACTACCATGGGATTAGTAAAATATTCATGTGGATAATTCAATTCAGAATACAAAAAACAAGAGAACCAGTGACCTGCAAAGAAATGGCTGGCTGGGCAATTCTTGGAGTTGAAGTCCAGACATCTCAACATTGGCAAGGTTGAGAAAGACTGGATTGATGTATTTATTGCACAATATATAGTGTGAATGCCACCTAGCCATTAACATGATGGAGAAGACTGCTGATGGATGACCCATATATCTGTTTAATCTGTTAGTGGAATGATGGGTGAATTCCAGGTCCATGCTTCATAATTCTTTCCCTCTCACCTGAATTTACTCTAGGCAGCACTTCAGATAGAGGAGACCTTGTGGCAAAGGATTGCTTGCAAATATTCTGTAAACAAAGGCCTGTCCTCTGCAAAGAAGGATGCAGGAAACTGCCTACACAAATCTTTAACAAACCTGAGATCTCAATGATGCTTTTTCCAAAGGGAACTGGACTGTTTTTTTTTTTCCTTGAGTCCAGTTGCCTTTTGAAAAAATATCTTTGAGACAACTATGACCTGGGTGACTGAGAATCCAGAATTAACACTGTTGAGCCCATGAGAATGGCAAATTGCAGTGTGCCCTCTTTTTGCAAGCTTTTTAAAATGTCCTTGTAGATCAAGGAGGGGGGAATCTATCTGTCAAGGAGAACAAGCAATGTAATTGTTGCCATGATGGTCAAAAGGAAGGCATGGTTTGGCCTGGATGTTCTATATTTTCCCAGGTTTTGAAAAGGAACCTTACAATTTGACATTTTCAAAAGCCATTTTAGTTTGTCTATTATTATTTTCCTGGAAAAAAAACTAAAATTCAATCATTCTAGTTAAAATTGCTGAATTTACTTTGAACAGCAATTTTATTCAAGAATAGTAGGATGAAAGCAAATTTGTGGTGGCGTTTGAGCTTAAAGGTGATCTACTTCTGGCATTGATTGATTTGCTTTTCTTGGTTTGTGAGAGCTGTGCCTTGCCTTCTATTTTAGAATAATATTATGGACTGGCTAAGAGAATAGATAATTGTGTGGGGCATCATGACATGAGCGTGAACCTTAATATGAATTGAATATAGATGTCTTCAAGTATGGTCAAAAATAAAGATGGTATCAATGAAGGAATAATGAAATCTCTGCCAATTTTTAGGCAAGACATCATCTTGATTTTTTTTTTTACCGTACTCTGGATGTCCTTTTCTGGATATCAAATCTTGACAGAACACATCCAAAGGACAAAAAAGGGTAGAAATAAATGTGCATTTTATTATCAACTCAAAAGTAGAAACCTCATTTTACAGGTGAGCAAGTAGCGTAATTTCATACGTAAAGAAATTCCACATTTAAAAAGAAAAATTACGCATTTCTATCAAAGTGGCCTGTGGCAAACTCAAATAAATAGTGAGCTGATTTATGATAAGAAAAAGTACAAATAGGAAAGCAGTCAAAAATAATTATAATCCACTTGTTAAATCGGTAGCTGAAACAGGAAATGTCATCCACTTCTCCAGGTATAATCCACTAAGCATTCTCTGTTTTATAAAAAAAATAAGCATGTTTTTGCTGCAGAATTATATTCTGAAATCTTATAAAGTACTCCTTTTAGGAAGAATCAAGCATTAGAACTTAATGCAATAAAGAAATGGCTGCCAAATTGTACTCATTTCAGCAGAGTTTATGCAAAAATTTCTGAGGCTCAGCACATGTTTGTGTTTGTTTTATTAATAAGAATGCCTTCTTTTGTTAATTCAGTAAGAAGTGCAAGCAGGCAAATCTCATTGCAAACGGAGCATGTGAGGAGAGGATTCTCATCCTTTCCCTTTTGAGCAATAGGCTCAATGAAAATTGTTCTCCTCCCCCATTGATAATAGAAAAGAAAAAAAAGCTTGTATTAGTGGCAGTGCATAAAACAACCAAAAATGAAGAAAGATGCGGAGCCCATTTTGGGGGGAAAAATAAGTAGATAAGAGATCCCTCACTTCCAAATGTGGAAATTGTCATCCTGGAGATGATAAATGATTATCTTGTGAAACAAAGGACCTCAGATGGCAACTGGAAAGTAAATGTTGAGATTTAAGTAGAAGGCTTTTTAGAATCAGGTCCTTATGATCTGTTTGGATTGATCTGTTTAACCACCTTATTCTGATTCAGATGGCTCTTCCTTAGCCATCTTCAAATTGGATGGAGAGTTGCTTGGGAGAGGGTTCAAGAGGTCAGGTGTCTTAGTAGTAGCTTCTCCAGAGCTATTGGTGTCTATTAAGGAGGCCATTAAACAGTGCTGGTATTGCTCCCTTGTGATCTGGATTAGGAAGAGAAAGCAATTATTCAAGAACTTACCACCAGCAATCAAGGGCATGGGATAATTTGGGGAAATGATGCTCCAGAGGTTTCTTCCAGCTACTTTGTGGAGGAACCAGCCAGAAATGTATTAAGCAGGCCAGAAACCAGAAAGGATCAGAAAGTGGTGATCTAAACCTTTTCTCTAGTTGAGAAGAGGCCTGGAAGCCAATGGACCAAGGAGATTGACTGGGTTGGCTTAGCATGCAAAGCCATAATTAGTTTAGCTATGGTTTGTAGAATAAAGATTTAGCTGGAGTCACAAATCAGATGAAGCCCAAACTAAATAAATAACATTATGCTTCGTGTGATACGAGTGTAACCACCGCGCCACATATAGGCTGGAAAGGTGGACTGGATGACAAGCTGCCATATCAAACTGGACAAATAGATTGTGCCAGATCTTTAGAGTTATGAAGCTTGTACACAAATGGACGGCATCAGGTTGAGGAACGTTTCCTTGTAGGAATATGCTAGAACTGAAGATTCAGCCCTCATACAAATCTGCCACCATAATATTTTGTCTGTCCCTAAAGAAGGGAGGAAAATAGTAAATCAACTGAAAGTTAATTATGTTCTTTAGAATTTGATAGGCAAATTTGTGGAAGCAGAAATGAGGAACCAATGGTTCTCCAGATGTTTCTGTTGGTGCAGTTGAGTAACATCTGCAAGATCATGGGTTCTCTTAATCTGATCTATAATTACTGGGTTATTGACAGCTTAGAATAGATTTATGACTCTCACAGAAGTCCCTCACTGGCTCACTTTGATGTACAGGAGGTCACTGAGGGCTCGGACAGTGAAATCAGCCATATATTGCAGGCTGGTGCTGGGGAGGACTTGGCTGGTGCTCATGCTTCTGATGGCAGAATTCATCTGTTCAAAGCTGATCCGGTTGATGCTGCTGAACCAAGACAGGGAGCTGCTCTCAAGCCCTAGACATTGTGGACAAGGAGATAAGAATTGTAGCCTGTAGTTCGATTCTCTCTCCGACTTGTTCATCGCTGTATTCTCCTATCCATCTCTCCAGGCTTGGCCTTTTCAACTGGGGCATTTTTAGTGGACTAAAGTATGGTTTATTTAAGCTTCCTTTGCTGAAAAATCTACAGTGCCATAGTCCCATTCACCAAGTTAATAAACTATAATGACTGGATTTACACAACATGTTAAAAAAAAAAAAAGACCAGCCATTTTGGAACTGAGCAGGATGGTGAATGCAGCCATTGACTAGCTGGGCTCCTCATGGTTTCAGGAAGAACTTTTCCAGCTCTGCCGTGGACAAAGACTCTTGAATCACCCGAAGCCACAGAAAGTCACTTTGAAATGATATGGGCAGTAAATAAATTTTAATAAATTAAATAAATTGCACTGGCTGCCCCTGTATTTTTGAGCAAATGCAGGGCAGTCAGATTTTCTAGCTACCGCAAGTCCCCCTTTTCCCCTCAGCTATTTTTCAAGGAGGCTTTCATGAAGAAGACAAAGTAAAACACGCAAGACTCTGGTTTTTACTTTGGTTGCTAAAACTCAGCTATAAACCCAGAGGCTGCATTTGCACAACAGATTGACTTTTAAGCTCATAGTTGTTTTTGCAAGATGGGCAACCACGCTAATTGATTCAGACTGACAAGATACTAACTTGTTTAAGGTTCATATGGTTAATTTTGGAGGGGCTTATCAGGCTGTATAAATCCAGCCTGGATCTTTTGATGATGATACAATGCATCATGCAAACATATGAATATCACTAGCATAAGAGGATTGTGTGAACACAGCCTTTGCCTAGCTCTCTTCCAGAAAAGATTGGACAGCCATTTGTCTGAGATGAATAAAATCTCCTGTCTTGGGCAGGAGGTTGGACTAGAAAACCTCCAAGGTCCCTTCCAGCCCTATGACGTTATTCCCTGAGCACCTTTTTAAAGGCAGAGAAGAATTAATGTGTAAACTATATTACAATTCAAACCACCAGAGGGCGCTAAATAGCACCTGATTTATTGGTGTCCTCGATCAGTCAGCAAAGAATCTTAGTCAGTGTCAAAAGTACAATTTGCAATTAGACTTTTCGGCCAAGGGGAGCAATTAAACTTTATAACTTGGACGAAGCTTCAAATCTCATGCTAGAGCTAGAGAGATTAAAAAAAAAACAGATTCAGCTTGTGGCTAGGGAATTCTGGGAGTTGAAGTCCACAAGCCTTAAAGTTGCCAAGCTTGGACACATCTGCATTAGGCAAAGCACACATTTGAGCAGAGAGCACAGACTGGCAAATTACCTGTTGGGATGGATGGCCCTAGAGCCATGACCCCATAGTAGGAGAAGGGTCCATTCTCAAACTTCATGTTTTCCTTACACGCTTCTACCTCCACCTTCCCCTGGAACAGAGAAAAGATTACAGTTGGAAAACTCTTATTTTAGCAGACAAGATATGAACTGGGCTGTATCTGAAATCTCACAGCATCTTAGCTGAACCATACAGGTAGAGCTCCTGTGCCACCCACAGTGTATGAGTGGAAAAGGCCCATTCATGGGCCTGAAGGGAGAAGAGAAGACTGTATAGTACCTGCAAGATGAGGATGAAGTAATCTGCCATCTTATTCCTTTGGTACAAGTAATGATGGGGGGAGTCCTTGAAGTTCTCATCAAATTTCAGCTCACAAATGACATCCCGGTGCTTCAGCAGACGCAGCAGGTATTTTTCAGAGATGAGGGTGGGGAAAAATTGCAAAATCTCTGCATGATGAGGAAAGGGCACGGGGATGAGTGTTCCCAAGGACATTTTTTTCCCAAAACTAAAGTCACAGTAGATAAATATTTTCCCAAAGCTGTAATACACAGTAACAGAATTGGAAGGGACCTTGGGGGTCATCTAATCCAACCCCCTGCTCCTGCAGGAGACTTATACTATTTCTGAAAGATGTCTATCCAGTCTCTTCTTAAAAGCCTCCAGGGTTGGAATAAAACACTTTATTTCAGCTGCTGAAATAAAAGTCTACCTGTCAACTCAGATACAGGATGTTCCTCCATTTACAGCCACAATTGGGGTTGGAATTCTTGTTGCCAAGGGAGATGGTTGTTAACAGAGTCATGTCCTATTTTACCACCTTGCTTGCCAGGGTGGTTAAGTGAATCACTGCAGTTATGAACTGAATCACATGATCGTTAAGCAAATCCAGCTTCCCCTATTAACTTTGTCAGAAGCCCCTGAAAAAGGTCACAAATCATATTCACGTAACTTGTGCAATCATCATAAGTACATGCTGGCTTGTGCAATCATCATAAATACATGCCGGTTGCCAAGCATCAAAATATTGATCCTGTGACTGTGGGGATGCTATGACAGTTTAAGTCAGACATGTCAAACACAAGGCCCGCGGGCAGGATGCGGGCCGGGGAGGGCCCAGATTTGGCCCCCTGGGGCTGTCCCAAAAATGGCAAGGGACCGGCCCCTGCTGCCCCAGCCCTGGCCCACCACAACCCAGCTGGGGGCCTTGGAGCAGGTGCAGGAAACAGTGCAGCATGCAGCAACAGCAGCTCATTTGCTTTAGCCCGCCCCTCCTCTCCCAGCTTAACCCCGTCAGGCCCGGTCAGGAATGGAAGAGGAGGAGGAGGAGGAAGCCTACAAAAAAGGAGAGCTTCCCCCATTCTCCCACCCCTTCTCTCTTTTTTTTTAACTTCCTCCCACTCCGTTCAGGTGCAGCTGAGGAAAAGGACGAGGAGAAAACAGGAAGGGTGTGTGGGTGTGGGTGGGTCTGTGTGGGTGTGTAAGAAAGACTGAGACAGAGAGAAAGCCAGGAGGGGAGGAGGAAGTTTTACAAAAAAGGAGAGCTTCCACCTTTCTCCCCCCTCCTCTTTTTTATTAACTTGTGTGTGTGTGGTGTTTGTGTGTGTGTGGAGAGAGAGAGAGAGAGAGAGAGCCAGCAGGGAGTTGCAGAGTAAGCAAACTTACAAAAAGGGGATTGCTCTCTCTTTTTCTCATACACATACACACATACACAGGAAGGTGGTGTGCTGGCAGGCGAGAGAGCAAACTTGCAGATTAGCTTTGTGGTCTATTCTTGCCTCCTCCCCTCCCTAAAATCCAGGCAATAATAAAACTCTTTGGATTGAATGGGAAGTTAGGAATTGGTGTGAGTTGAAATTAAAAGGCTGAGTCAACTCCCCCCCCCCAATTATTTTGTCAGAGACAAAAATAGTTCCCTTCATCTGCTCTTTTATAATTTAATCCAGCCTTACCCAAACTAATATATTTAGGGTGTCATGAACCACAGTTCCCATCATCCTGTGGCTATGCTGGCTAGAAATGCAATGCCTTATTTTCTCTGCAGTATGCGCCTATGAGGCAGTAGGTCTGTGGGATTTAGATGTATTTAAATATTTGTTTCTTCTGCCTAATTTATTAAATCAACATCTAATTTGAAATTAAAAGTTTCTGAGAAATCCAGGGTGGTTTACAAGAAAACTCTCAAAGACAGCTATTGTAAAGCATCACTAGCACTGCTTAAAACAATATTAAAAGTATGTCTTTTAAGAAAGAAAAATAGTAGTAGTAATTTACTAGTGCTGTTTGGTCATAAAATGTGTTGTTGTTTTACATATGCCTGGCTGAACAGTGTGTTTGGAGTTGCCTCTAAATAGGTGAGGGTTGCACTGTTCATATTTTCCTTGGGAGAAAGTTTTATAATGAGGGTGCTGTCTCTGAGAAGGCTCTGCTTGTGGCCACTGTTCTATAATCCAAACCAGGGGGACCATCTGGTCTAAATGGATGGTAAACATAGATGATTAGCGGGCTGGAGGCTAAAACATATGACAAATGTTTGTGGAAATTGGGTATGTCTGGCTTAGTGAAAAGGTGGTGACATGATAGTAGTGTTCCAATATTTGATGGGCTGCCACAGAGAAGAAGGGGTCAACCTATTTTCCAAAGCATCAGAAGGCAAATAATAGATGGAAACTAATCAAGAAGAAAAACAGCCTAGAACAACTAACCAGTGAAAAGGCTTGCCTTCAGAAGTTGTGGATGCTCCATCACTGGAGACTTTTAGTAGAGATTGGATATTCCATTGTCTGGAATGGTATATGTCCCCTGCTTGAACAGGAGCTTGGACTAAAGACCTCAAAGGTCACTTCCAACTCTTATTCTTTGAGAGAAGTGCTGCCAACCTCTCCCCCTCTCCTCGCCCCTTCCTGGGCGCAGAGAGAAGGAGGGAAGGAGGGGAGGGAAACAGGAAAAAAGTAAGGGAAGGAAGCAAGGAGATGGGAATGAAAAGGAGGGAGGCAGGGAAGAAAGGAAAGGAGGAAGGAAGGAAAGAGAAGGAAGGAAAGGAAGGAAGGAAGGAAGGAAGGAAGGAAGGAAGGAAGGAAGAAAGAAAGAAAGAAAGAAAGAAAGAAAGAAAGAAAGAAAGAAAGAAAGAAAGAAAGAAAGAGAGAGAGAGAGAGAAGGGAGGGAGGGAGGGGAGGGAGGGAGGGAGGGAGGGGAGGGAGGGAGGGAGGGAGGGAAGGAAGGAGATTGGAATAAGAGAGAGGGAGGGAGGGTCTGAAGAAAGTCCTGCTTTAGCACTTGGTCACCAGCAGCCCTGTTGCCCTTTTGCCTTCCCCTGGTGGTCTCCCATCCTTTGGTCTCCCATGCTTTGGTTACAAAGCCAGGTTTCCTCACATGGAGAGGGAATGGGCCTCCCTCTGACCCATACACTTTGTCCTCCTGTGCCCACCATGAGCAACCTGGCCAAGGAGAGTGAGCACAGCAGCAGCAGCATTGAGGAGGAGATAAGTGCAGCTGGGCACCCCCTCGGGGAAGTGTGGCTAGGCTAGGCAGGGCTGGGGGGTCCTGGTGCCGTGGGAGCTCAAGGGCCAGGCTGGGCACTTGACCTCCACTGCCCAGGGCTCTGGGCAGTCCATGCCACTGTCCAGGGGCTCCGTGCACAGCCTGAGGCTCAGTGAGGCTCCTCAGTGGACCATGCCCTGGCGCTCGCCCCGTCCCACCCACCCTTCCCCACCCTCGGATGCACCTCATTCCTGCCCAGGACCGCACAGGTTCCCCTGACATGAGTGACATGGAGCTGGCCACACCCACCCAGCCCCCAATGGCGACCACGATGCTGATGCGGCCCTCGATGAAATTGAGTTTGACACCCCTGGTTTAAGTCCAACAACTGATCATGTCACTTTTTCAGTGCCATTGTAACTTAGAATGGTTGCTAAACAAATGCTTGTAATTTGAGGACTACCTGTACAATACTAGGCATTGCCTCTGTTCCGTTTGTGCTGTTGCTTGGAACAGATCACTTATGCCAGGCAGGTTGCTGTTGCCATTGCCGGTGGGCTCCTGTGTGATGGAATGTGCATCTGGAGAAGAAGCGGGGGTACTTTGGACAACCCAGAGCTTTCCCAGAGGGAGGCCCAGATTAAGAGACTGGGCCGTCCTGATCTGGATGGGAGATGGGAGAAGAGATTCAGGGCAACCACACCCTAGAACAGAGGTGGACAATTAATTTTCCCAAAGGGCCACATGAGAAACTGGGGGTGTTGTGGACCCATACATTACTGGGAAGGTGCATAGGCACCCACGCATGCAGATATATGTAAACTGGAAAAAGAATTACGGTCACCTTCAAAATAAAGCAATGCAGTTGCACTGTATGCATGCATACACGGATTTACTTTTGATTTCTAATGTCCGAGTGATCTCACATAGGCCGGGAAAGGACAATCAAAGGGCTAGATGTGACCCGGGGGCTATAAAATGCCCTTGAAGTTCTGAGGCTACATCAAATAGGTAAGAAGGTTATATTCTGTCTGTTTGGGTGAAGCAAATAGAGGATTGGACTCGATTGGGTTTGGTGTGTTGGCTTTGGGCTTGCACCTGACGTGCTACCTGTGGAGAGGAAGCGATGGGCAGCCAAGAGCAACTGCTTGGAGATCTTTGCTTCGACGTCATAATCCCTGAAAGCAGAGAAATCCCACTTCCTTAGTCCAGTGACTCTTCTTTTAGACCGGTTGTCAACTACAAAGGTAAAAGGCAAAGAAAAGGTCACCAACAAATTCAGGCTGGACAGCCAAGGAGTTGTCAAGATGTTGGCCTTGAAGTGGAGAGAATTGGATTCAAACCTCCATTCAATCGTGGGTGACTTTGGGCCAGCTACTCTCCCAGCTTAGCCCACTAGCTTCAAATCAAGCCAAATCTTTATCAGTCATAGACCAGCATAAGACAGTGTGATGTGTGTGTGTGTGCGTGTGTTTGTGTAAGAGAGGGGGGGAGAGAGGGAGAGGAAGAGAGAGAGAGAGAGAGAGAGGTGCAGTCATTTAAAAAGCTGTATACATCAGAGAAAAATATATATTTTTAAAAAATTATAAAAAGCAAGAAGCTATAAAAGATGTAGGAATTAAAAAGAGAAATCATATGTCCAAACAGGAATTTAAAAGAAAAAGTGGGATATGAATGCAATAAAATAGGAAGTACAGGGAACTACATTCCACAGTCACAAATATTATTTATATAGAGTGCCCTGATGCTAAGACAGGAGCATAAGGAAAGTAGTGAGGGTTATTTCCAGTTGGTTAAGCTTCATGTGGACAGGAGGAGAAACTCAGGTACTTCCCACCCTTTTGCATCCTATCCCCATTCTTGACAATGTTCAATTTCAAGCACTTCCAGGTAGACCGGAGGGAGGTGTTAAGAAGGGGCCTAAACTAGAGTCCTTGCAGTGCAGAAAGCAGCAGAAGCTGGACCTCCCACAGAATCCTTGAAGTCTTATTTGACCTTTCCCAGGGGAATGCAGTTAGTCTGGTGAGCTTCTTGTAACATAGGTGACTAAAAAATAAAGCTCTATTCACAAGTGGTTCTGGTTGTTTGCTCCTGACAGTTCTCTTCCCTCCGTGCTGTGTAATTTTGCATCTTTTTTCTTCAGCATGCTTTCTGAAATAGCACAGATATTGTCTACATTAGACAAAGAAACTATGTTCCTGCAGCAGCTTCCTTTAAGGAAGCTGAATCTGGGGTAAGTTTCAACTTTTCTAAAACTCCTCACCCTTCAAAAGTGAGATGCAGGCTTATAATCATATGGGGTTTTCTTTCAAAACCATTTGCAGAAGAGAAGTCATTAGCAGCAGAAACAAGAAGGATGTTGTAGGTAGGATCTTCAAAGACTAATTTGTTTATTATGATGATTACCAGAATCTTTATGCAATAATAAACACAGTCATCTTTAAAGTCCCACAAAAAGTGGGACTGTTCATAAAGAGTGAGATTCTGCCGGTTGTTGTCTCCCTCACGCATATGGATACAACTATTTTCTACAACTATTTAAGAATAAAACTAACCGTAAATATCCGATTCGTCCACAATTTCAGACTTGATGATTTCTTCAATGACATCCTCCAAGGTTACTAAGCCCACCACTTCAGAGATTTGTTCGTGGCTAACCTCATGCATCTTTTGGACAATGGCCAGGTGAGACTTACCTGTAGGACAGATTTAGTTATCTGTCTAGAGCAGGGGTAGGCAACCTTGGCTCTTTTATGACTCGTGGACTTCAACTCCCAGAATTCCTGAGCCAGCTATGCTGGCTCAAGAATTCTAGGAGTTGAAGTCCACGAGTCATAAAAGAGCCAAGGTTGCCTATCCCTGCTCTAGAGTCACATCAAAATAGTTCTTTAAAAATAGATTCCAGTTTTGTATAACCTTGTAAAAGTTATATCTGATAAATAACCTATTTTTCATGTCACCTTGGTTTAGAGCTAGGGGGCATGAAAGCTCAGCGATTAAAGACGCTGAGCTGGTCAGATGGAAAACTGACAGCCCTGATTGAAGACCCAAGCACTGCACAACAGAGCGAGCTCCCGTTCCTTGCTCCAGCTCCTGCCCATCTAGCAGTTAGAAAGCATGCAGATGTGAGTAGAGAAACAGGTACCACTTCCGTGAGAAGGTAACCATGTTCCATGCATCTCAGCGTATAGTCTTGCTGGCCACAGGACCACAGAAATGTCTTCAGACAACGCTGGCTCCCTCAGCTAAGAAATGGAAATGAGCACCACCCCCTAGAGTTGGACACAACCGGACAAGGAAAGCCTTTACTTTTTGCCTTTATTGGTTCAGAGCAGGGATGTCTATTGCCTTATATATTGTCTCACAACAGTTTATACAAACTTTTGCTTCTATCTTGAACACAGCTGGCACTTTGGACAGAGATTTTAGGCATATCTCTCTAGTCCTGTTCAATAATAATAATGATAAAGTTGGAAGGGACCTTGGAGGTCATCTAGTCCAACCCCCTGCTCAGGCAGGAAACCTTATACCATTTTGGACAAATGGCTGTCCAGTTTCTTCTTAAAAACTTCCAATGTTGGCGCATTCACCGCTTCTGGAGGCAGGTTGTTCCACTGGTTAATTGTTCTAACTGTCAGGAAGTTTCTCCTTAATTCTAGGTTGCTTCTCTCCTTGGTTAGTTTCCACCCGTTGCTTCTTGTCCTGCCTTCAGGTGCTTAGGAAAATAGCTTGACTCCCTCTTCTTTGTGGCAGCTCCTGAGATATTGAAACACTGCTATCATGTCCCCCCTTGTCCTTCTCTTCATTAAACTAGACATACCCAATTCCAGCAACCGTTCCTCATATGTTTTAGCCTCCAGTCCCCTAATCATCTTTGTTGCTTTTCTCTGTACTCCTTCTAGAGTCTCAACATCTTTTTTACATTGTGGTGACCAAAACTGGATGCAATATTCCAAGTGTGGCCTTACCAAAACATTGTAAAGTGGTATTAATACTTCACGTGATCTTGATTCTATCCCTCTGATAATGCAGCCTAGCACTGTGTTGGCTTTTTTATAGCATCAAAATAATAAATTCTATTGCAAATATACTTTTATTTAAAAATTGCTACTTTTAATTTATTTTCTTATTGGCTTTTATTACTATTTTTTTTTCTCCTTATTCAGACTTAAACAGAACGATTAGATCTTTACAAAACTTTTAGGAGAGGGAGAAGTATGTTCATATGAGCAGGAATTATTCAATCTCCAGAAAAGTTAATTTACTACCTACTTGGAGGTAATTGTGTGACTGACCACAACCATTTTTTTAAAGATCAGGACAGCCACTTTTGCCTATTCTAAACATCCCAAATTGTTCTATTTTATGGACATCCGAAAGCCAGCATTAAATACAATCTGTCATTACCTTTTTTGAATTCTTCAAGCACAGCATCCAATGTGGTAGTGTTGGAGACATAATGGATTGGGTGGTTATAAAACTTGGTGATTGTCTTGAGTGGGGTGTGATCATCTGGGTCAACAAATGCAAGATCTTTGACATATAACATGTCAACAATGTTAGCCTTTTCATTCTCGTAGATTGGGATCCGTGTGTAGCCACTCTCTAGAATCTCTGTCATTGTATCAAAATCCAGGATGGCATCACTGTTGATAAAGAAGCAGTCTTTTAATGGGGTCATGACATTTTCCACCGTCTTAGTCCTCAACTCCAGGGCTCCTTCGATGATATTCAGCTCTTCTTTCAGCAGGTCATTATAAGGCTGAGTCAATCTAATCATCTCCATCAGTTTCTCTCGGTTGTAGGTAGTGCCCATTTCTTTCCCAAGTAGGTAGTCCAAGATCTTACTAATAGGGTAAGAGGCTGGGAATGTGATAACCATAACCAACTTGGTGACGAAGATGGTATTGGCACCTATTGCCAAACCATGACGGGAGCAGATGGCCTGTGGAAGGATCTCCCCAAAGAGGACGATGGCAATAGTAGAGATCACAATAGACCACATGTTTTCCCCAATAACTGTGTCTAACAATATGGTGAGTGAAGAATTGACTAAAACATTACCAAGCAGCAAAGAACAGAGCAAATAATTCCCCTTCCTTCGGAGGGGTTCAATCTTGGTGGCATATTCCCTCTCCTTAGGTGTGCCACAATTTTTCACAATGCGCAATCCCATAGGATCAAGGGCTATTAGGCCTAGGGTGAGACCACTAAACATCGCTGAGAGTGACAAGAGCACAAGTATTAAGATAATTTGAAGCCAGAGTGGTAGGTTCAGACTTTTGTCCTCTACCACTCGGAGGAGCAGATGACTATCCTTGAGCAGCTGGCGTGATCTCCCACGATGATCCTCAAGGCACATCATGTAGTCCTTGAAGCGGATATTCTTCCGCAGGTTTTGAACCTTCACAGAGAGTATTGCAGAAGTATTTTGCACCTCATCACTGTTTGGCTGTATCAATAAATCACTTGTTCTTTGGGGGCAGATTGAATAGTTCCTGACAAAAGTACTCAGGGAAGAAGTCTCCACAAACCGAATCCTCTGCCAGCTGAATTTGTGGATGCCTTCACCATAGATCCGGAGATGAATCAGGCTTCCTTCCATCACTTGGATCATGCCATTTTCCAAAATGTTTGTCTGGGCCTTGCTACTATTCTCCAGCCTCATGCCTATAATTAGGGTGTCATTAAAGGATGGCGCTCCCTCCCCAGCACTGGCTTGCAACAGGAAGACGAAAAGAAGCATCAACATCTTTGGAAGCATCAGTACTAGATCTGTGACCTAATCACTTGATTTCTGTCAACCACCAAAACAACTCAACTGATCAGATCCAGGAAGAATTACCTTTCTTTAATGTATCCATGGATTTCCTCCAGTTACTCATTAAACCACACCCCAAACCGGAACAGTAGATGTCACAAACCTATGCAGCCCCGCCCACCTCATTTGCATTCTACATTCTTGCCTGGCAACTTTGAATCCCACCACCATCATCAAAGCGTCTTGCAGTAAATTGATTCGCATTGATTTGAAGGCACCAGAAATCTCTGTGTTCTGAATGGGTGAATGTTGTATTTTACAGAAGGAAATCAGTTTTATGAGGACCAATTCAGACAATCTCCCATAAGCTGAAGTGTACAATGTGTTATACTTCCATCCTCTCCAGTTATGCCACTCCCACAAAGATGGACTTCTGCCTTCTCTGTGCCCCATGAAAATTCCTCCACCTCCTTCCCTTATTTTGCTAGATGGGATGAGACATTGCTGCCAATTACTGTAAAACAATATTTCTCAACCTTGGCATCTTTAAAATAGGTTGACTTCAACTCCCAGAATTCTGGAAGTTGCAAGTCCACCCGTCTTAAATTTGTTAAGGTTGAGAAATGCTGCTATAGACAGTGGGTCTATGCTGGTATGGAGCTGGTCTTCCTTTCTTCCAGCATATAAAAATCCTAGAATTCTGACTTGTATTGATCCAGAGCACTGATCTGGATTTCTGGATTTACCTCGATTTACCAGATTAATGGACACCAGATAGATATATTTTCCAGATCTACCTGGAGATCCTGAGACTTGATTCAAGGACTTTTTTACACCCAAGAGATGGGATCTTAACCTTCTTTTGTAAACTGTCTAGAAGCCTGGTAGTTAAACCCATGTTTTTCCAGGCCAGGGAAAAATGCAGCTGAAATGGATCCCTTTCTGTGATTCCACAGCCCTCTTTGGTTCTCAACCTCAGCTCACACACAGCTGCGTTTACCTCTAAAAGGATAGTCAGCATTGAGTTTGCTGCTAAATCTTAAATTAAGATTGAATAGAGAAAATTGTCTCTTGTTTTATACATTGCATTCTTGTTTTTCACCCCGGTCTACCATTCATGTATGTCATCCCATCTAAGCAAGATACTGGATTTTTATTTCCGTTTGCTCACCAAGGTTGCAGCTTTTTTCAAGCATCCAACAATAAGCCTACAGCTTATAGTATGGGGCTGTGTTCCCTCCTTCCAATTTCCATGAATCTAGCTAAGAAGCACTCCACTTTGGAATAAGGCTACTCCGGATTTCCCATTTGTAGATCTTCTGCTGAAGTCTTCTTGAGTTCAAGAATGTACTTCAGGCTCCCTGGATGTTCATATGATCCATAGGAGTCCTCGCTCATAACCCAAGTTGTTCTCCCAAGGTATCAACTTGTGTAAGATTCGTTCTCCTTGGCATCTCACCTTTTTCTTCCCACTTCTGATGCAATATCATAGACAATATACAGTGAAAAATATATTTATTTAGGTACAAATGATATGTTTCTTTCCAGTGGATGCCTATGCTAAAAAAAAAAAAAAACATACATTCATTCCAGCAGAGTAATTATCCATCAGAAATGATGGAGCCTTAAACAAACCATACAAATACAACAAACCATATAAATCAAGGATGCCCACCCTTGACAACTTTAAGACTTGTGGGCTTTGATAAGTGGTTAGAATGCTGCATTGCAAGCTAATTCTGCTGACTGCCAGATTGCCAGCAGTTCGGCAGTTCGATTCTCATCGGCTCAAAGTTGACTCAGCCTTCCATCCTTCCGAGGTTGGTAAAATGAGGATCCAGATTGTTGGGGGCTATGTGCCGACATTTGTAAAAAAAAAAAAAAAAGACTTGTGGGCTTCAACTCCCTGAATTGCCTAGCCAACGTGGGTTGACTGGGGATTTTGGGGAGTCGAAGTCCACAGATCTTAAAAGTTGCCAAGGCTGGACACCCCTGATGTAACTGGATCTCTCCCTTGTGTTCCCACAAACCAATTTTTGTAAGTGGGTTTTTTTCTCTATTTTTAAAGATACACATCAAAGTTGCTCAAATAACTTCAAGTTTTGTTTCACAGAGATACCACTGTAGGCAACAGAAGGCGTTCCTGATGGAATATAATGAAAGAAAATCAAGCTTTCCTATTTTGGGGGGGACATAGAAACATTACAGGCAGCTAGATCAGAACGAATGTTAATTCTCCCTCAAAGTATATTTGAAACCTGTACCCACTTTTCTTTATCCAACCTACTTTTTACTCTATAAATAAAAGCTGTTATCAAGCCATCTGCTGGGCCGAAAGGCTGGGCTTTTTTTAATGCAATTCTATGCCCACTTAGCTGGGATTACAAAAGGTCAAATTCTACAGGATTTACTTCTGCCTATACATTTTAGTATTACATCCACTGCTTTGGGAGAGCATACTTAGCACGGTCAGCTAAATATCTAGCAGCTGTATTTACATTGCATGTTAAGTTTAGATAGCTGAGTTTTAACTCATTTTCAGTGCGTTGTATGAACCCAGCCAGCTAAATGATTCAATGTATGTCAACCATGAAAACAGAGAAATCCAGTAGCCAAGTTAATTTTGGTGGTAAACCCATCTACTATGAAGCTCCTTTACTGTATATTTCAAAGAAAGTTATTATATGCTCAGATAATAGACCCACTTCATGGAAAACCTAAGCTAACAGAGGCATTTCATCCCTGCTTATATCATTTTCAATCAGGGCAGCATTTAATTATAATTAATGCCTATCCATGATTTCCACTTTTCACCATCTGCCAGTCCTGCCTTTAATAAAAACCTGACATGCAACTATTAAGAGGTGGATTTTTTTTAAATGACACAGGTTATGTTTGCATGTGTTTTTAGATGTCACCACAGCTTACATCAACTTTTTCTAAAGTTGGCAGTCTCCAGATAAGAGATCAGAAGTTTAAAAATTTTGGTCATAATTTAATACCAGTGATTTTCTAGGTTGGCAACAATATTTTTCAGGAAATTGCCAACTGAACCTTTGCAGGGCCTCTTTCCCCTCCATCAGCTCTTCCTGCTTCCCCACTGCTACTCTCCCCACATGTGGAAAACCAACGCAGCAAACAATAAAATGCTATACATCTTGATAGTGTTGATTGCTGCCTGAACTAGCATGGCTATGTTGTTGCAAAAAATGAGCCAAATTTTAAGCAATATTCTTGTGTTTTTACAATTGGTATATGATGCAATTTCAGCTGATACTGCTTATGCATGCTTTCAAACCAGTGCTGGTTCCTAGCAACTGCCTGGACGACTCCCTGCAGTTTTCTTGGCAAGATTTCAGAAGTGGTTTGCAATTGCCTCTTTCCCAAGGCTGAGAGAGAGGGACTGGCCCAAGGTCACCCAGTTTGTGCCTAAGGCAGCACTAGAACTCACTATCTCCTAGACCTAGTTTGTAGCCTGGGGCCTTAACCACCATAACAAATTGGCTCTCGTGCTGCTTAGACTATACAAATATTCTATTCCTATTAGTGGATAACATGCAGTTCTACCCAACCAAAACAGTGAGGCTTTTCTCCAAAAGCATTTTTAGGATGGCCTATTCATGTTTTGAAAAACATTTCAGTGTTCAGCTTCAAAGAAGCAGTATAAAGATGTGTGTGTGTGTACACCATACTCCCAGACCTGCTAAATGAAGAAATCAGTGTTACATTTGCTGCATATTGTGTTTCAGATTAACACACCGCATGAATTCAAATGACCAAGAAACTTGTATTGAAAATGCAAAGAACAAAGAGCCCTAATCACTCAATTCTGCCCGTGCACATCAATTTCTCAGTTATACAGAGAAACCTATGGTGTTTAGCAGCACATAAGGGTCTGAAGGCATCATGTAAGCTATTCCTTGCTTTAAAAAGCTGGCAGAAACACAAAGCTCTTTCTGGTCTTCCAGGCTACCTAGAAATCCATTAGTATCATATTTCTTCTCCCTGGATCCCCACTGAGTCAAGCAACCTTCCCCAGTGGCCTTGGTGATTAGGGATTCAGAGAACTGATGCTGAACAATGTGTCAGAGAAGGATGGACTAAAGAGTTTGAAGAGATAAAGATCAAAGCAACTACTGCCCTGCTGATTGGAAACAAGGCTGACCTTATCAAACCAACTCAGTGCACAATCCACTTTCTCTGGGCTGCTTCCAATCTTTGCACTTCAGAAGCTACTAGAGAACTGTGTGTGTGAAGGGGGGGGGGGAAGAGAGAGAGAGAGATCAATTTACTAAAACATTTTGTATATGCTTGAACTAATTTTAGGGCGTATGTTAGTTTTAAGTTTGTTCATAGAACACCAGATAAAGTTGACAACATACCCAACCGATCTAGCTTTTTAAAAAAAAAAAAATTGTGATTACTGCTTTACTGTCCTCTGCATTAAAAATGTTAACTCAAGTACAGAATATTGCAAAAATGATTGAAATAGTATTAAGCTAGGCAGATGAACATTCAGCTGGCAAGCATGTACTCTATTTAGAAATTCTAGATACAACAGGAATTTCAATCTTATTATTTAAAAAGGATTATATTGAAAAATAATTGGCATATTTTAAAAGGAAAGTAAGTACAAGGCTTCTTCAGCATTCCATCCTGTTTTAGAAAGTCTGAAAGGATTTTTTTCTCTCTCTCTAAAATATATGCTCTGCATTTCAGGGCATTAATTTCAAATAAATAATTCTATAATTTATAGTGATAGGAAAATTACTGATGTCCCTGCATTCTGTCAGATAACACACTGGGTTACAAAACACGTCTCCAACAACCGTGAGTCAACCAAATGCCAATTGCAGAATTCATATAACAAGCCATGCCCAAATAACTAGATGTTGGCTTGATGCGTAGCATAAACCAAAGCTGTGGCTGAACCCCTATCTATCAAATCCGAGTTTAGCAAAGTCTAACAGGCTGGGCGAAAGCCAGTCCGCGGGAGATGGGCAGAGGAGCGGCCGCCGGTTAATGCGGCGAGAGTCACGCGCATCGAAGGGAGGAAGAGCTGCCGCCGCACGGTTCCCACTTCCACCAGCCTCCCTTTCCCCCTCCCGGTCGGGATTCGGCCGCGATCCCGCCGTCCTCCCAGCTCTTGCGCGCTCCGCGTCCTTCCCTGCCCGGCTGCGGCCCGCCGGGGACGCTCAAGAAGCGGCGCCGCTGCTCTTCCGCTGCTCCGCGCCGGATAAGGGCTCCGTCTGGCTCAAAGACGTCGCGCCCTGCAAACTCCTCCGGAACGGGGATTCCGGTGGCTCCGGGCCGCCCCCTCGCCGCATCCGGCAGGCCGCCCAAGGCACGCAGCTGCTCAGGGCCAGCGCCGAGGCCAGCAGGGCGGGCGGGCGGGTCTTGTAGCGCCGCGCGCTCTTCTTCAGGCGCTGCCCGTGCGCCGTCAGGTGCAGCTCGGCCTGCGCCACGCCGCTGCCCAGGCGGCCGACCGTCTCGGCGCGGGTAGCCATGCGCAGCTCGGCCTCGAGGAAGACGCGGTGCAGGTGCTGGACGCGGGTCTCCAGCTCCGAGACCAGGTGCCGCCGCCCCTCCGCCTCCAGCAGCCGTCGCCGGGCTTCCGCCAGCTCCAGCGCGCCCCGCACCGCCGCGGGTAGCGAAGACGAGGAGGAGGAGGCGGCGGCGCGCACTTCCAGCTCCTGGCTGCTCGCTGGAGGCGCTGCCGCCGCCGCCACTTCCGCCGGCTTGGCAGCCTCCTCGACTCCTCTAGGCGCCCTCAGGGCTCCGACAGCAGGAGGCGCAGTCCCGCAGCCGGGCATTAAGGCTTAGCGAGGAGGGAGGGAGGGAGGGAGGAACCGCGTCGGTGCTTTGGGGCCCCGATGGAGATGCGCGCCCTCGGGGCGTCGGGCGCTTCTGCTCCAGGCGTAGAGCGAGGCCCCCGTAGCCCCGGTCCTGCCCACCAGCGCTCCGGGAAACGCGCGCCGCTCCCCACCGCGGCGCTCCAGCCCGGTAACCGGTTCGGAGCGTGCGCGCGCGAGACAGAGAACGAGCCCTGGTTTCCAGTGACGGCTCAGTTCAAGTCTGGCCAACCAGCCTCCGAACGCGCTTATAAGGCGGCGGAGGAGGGCGAGGGCGGGGGCGGCGGGGAGTTGAGAGACGTTTCGCTGAGCCAGTCACAGAAGCTGCCTGGAGCTTTGCTGGTCTCTCTAATCCCCCGCCTGGCATCTGTTCGGCCGCTTTCCGGAACTCATCTGGCCTCCGCCCGCTCTCCCGACTGTTTTCTTTTCTAAGGTGGTCATAATAGCGCTTAACTATTACAGTAAGGGCTGTGGGGGGAGGCTCTTTCTCATCTCCCCCCCCCTTTCATCTCCGAAAATTGCTAGGAACATTATGGACGATCGGGGCACTTTTTCATTCTGTCAGAATGACTAGAAATGCCAGGATGAATCATTTGCAGCCATTTGAAGGGCATCCAATGGCAACAACAACAACAACAAAAGCAGATTTAACCAATAGAGGTAATCCTCAACTTACAACAGTTCATTAAGTAACTGTTCAAAGTTGCAAGGGCACTAAAAAACGTGACTTATGTCCTTGTTTCACAGTTAATGACCTTTGCAGCATCCCCATGATCGTGGAATCAAAATTCAAATGCTCGGCAACCGGTTCATATTTTGCTGTGTCCCCAGGTCAAGTGATCCGCTTTTGCATTCTTCTCGCAAGCAAAATTAATGGAGATGCCAGATTCACTTAACAACTAGATTACTAACTTATCAACTGTAGTGATTCACTTAACAAGTGTGGCAAGAAAGACCATGAAATGGGGGCAAAACTCACTTAACAAATGTCTCACTTAACAACAGAAGTTTTGGGCTCAATTGTGGTCATAAGTTGAGGGCTGCCTGTACAGTTTTACTCATTCCTGTTCAGAAAAGACTAATGATTTCACTGACTTCTGATAGTGAGAACAATTAATCAGTGGAATAGGTTGCCTTTAGACATTGTGGGTGCTCCATCACTGGAAGCTTTTTAAAAGAGATCAGCCATTTATCCGAAGTGGTGTAGGACAGTGGTGGCGAACCTATGGCACGGGTGCCAGAGGCGGCACTCAGAGCCCTCTCTGTTGGCACGTGCGCCACCGCCACCAGCAGCAGATCCATCAGGCCACCACCGCTGCCCGGAGCAGGAGCCCCACCCACCATAAAGGAGGCGAAGCAGCCAATTAGCAAGCTTGAGTAGAGGTGGTAGAGCAAAGATCACCAACCATTGTCGATTGGTGGATTGGAAGAAAAGGGAGGGGGAAGCATTTTACATGTGCACATGTGCTCATGGAGCCGTGAGCACGCACGTGCTGCAAATGGGGCGGGGCTAGTGCCTGCGTGATACTAGCCTTGCCCCGTTCTTGGCGTGATGCAGTGCCTTGTATCTGCACCCTGTGGCGCGGTGGCAGCCATTTTTGTGCCTTGCAGCACAGTGGCCCATTTTTGCGCCCCTGGTTTTTGCGTGCCAGAGGCGGCACTCAGAAGCACCTCCTTGCCCCCCCCCCTCCGTGCTGATGCGGCCCTGGCACTTTGTGATAATTAAGTGGGTTTTGGGTTGCAGTTTGGGCACTCGGTCTCTAAAAGGTTCACCCTCACTGGTATCGGATCTCCTGCTTGAGCTGGGCATTGAACTGCTAGAAGACCATCAATGTCCCTTCCAACTCTGTTACTCTGTTACTCCTCACATATGAAAGCTTCCTAAAGGGCAGTTTTAGGTCTTAACTGTGTCCCCTCTCTCTTCACTCTGTCTCACATAAAAGGCAGCTATTGCAGATCCGAATCAGTTTCATTTGCTTCTGCTATGACTCACCTTGACTTCAGAAAAAAGAAAAAAAAACAGATGGGCTAGAACAACCTTGTAGCTTCCAGGAGGAATTGTTTCTATAGTGATCCATGAGTAGGTATGTTCCCAGAGGAAGAGCTGTTGGAAAGAACCTTTTATTGACAGAGCAAGCAAACAGTCTCTAAAAGCTATAGCCTATCTAAGCTGCAAAAAAAATCCAAATAATCACTAGTGGACATCTGGGCTTTTGCAGTCAGAAGTGTAGTGCTAGTGACTTTCATGACTTGGCTATGTAGGGTTATTTCACTGCAACATGAAAGTGGTTTATTTATTCGTTCGTTTGTTCGTTTATTATTTATTCCATTGCTATCTTCTCCATTTTAAACGTTTAAGTTAGTCTAACCGAGAGGTATGTTTGGAACCGGGGTGTATGCGGTACATGTGCATATGCAGCTCAACGTGCGCAAGTGCCAGGCTGTTGTGCGTGTGCACAGCACACAAAGGCCCCCACTAGGGGGAGGTTATAAAGGTTGGGGACCGGTTCGTCTAACCTACAGCCTTGATCAACAGGTCCTCCGTCCTAATCTAAATTCACTGACTTTAATATATTCTAATTTGCAACGATAAGAGATTACAGGAATTAAGAATATTTGCAGTGATGAAGAAGCTCTTCCAGTTTGCCACATTTGGTTTTATATTAAATGCTGATTACAGAGGAAGAGTGTAAAATTTTGAACAAGCGGTAAGAGTTATAGTAATAGTAGTAAAGTTGGAAGGGACCTTAGAGGTCATCTAGTCCAACCCCCTGCTCAGGCAGGAAACCCTACACAATTTCGGACAAATGGCTGTCCAGTCTCTTCTTTAAAACTTCCAATGTTGGAGCATTTATTGCTTCTGGAGGCAGGTTGTTCCACTGATTAATTGTTCTCACTGTCAGGAAGTTTCTCCTTTGTTCTTGGTTACTTCTCTCCTTGATTAGTTTCCACCAGTTGCTTCTTGTCCTGCCTTCAGGCGTTTTGGAGAATAGCTTGACTCCCTCTTCTTTGTGGCAGCTCCTGAGATATTGGAACACTGCTATCATGTCCCCCCTTGTCCTTCTCTTCGTTAAACTAGACATACCCAATTCTAGCAACCGTTCCTTATATGTTTTAACCTCCAGTCCCCTAATCATCTTTGTTGCTCTTCTCTGTACTCTTTCTAGAGTCTCAACATCTTTTTTACATCGTGGTGACCAAAACTGGATGCAGTATTCAAGTGTGGCCTTACCAAGGCATTGTAGAGTGGTATAGGGAAATAAGTATGAGATAACAGCTAGATCAGTGATGATCTGCTCCCCCCCCCAATTCTCCAAAGAATGGTTCAAGTTCACACTGGTAGAAAATGAAGCTGGGGGAAAACTTTGGGTTTTTTGAGTTATAGCTTCCTTTCAGAAAATATGCCACCTGATATTGCAGCAAGTCTGCCAATAGCATGTTACATAATGATTTATTAAAGCTAAAGTGGGTTGATTTGGCAGGAAATCAGAGACTGTTCACTCAGAGCCAGCTAACGAGTCCTGTGACACTCCAATGTCATTGTCACATCTGCCTAGATTTAACTAAGCCTAACGGGGCCTCATTCACTAACCTTTAAAGATCCGCTTTTGGTTTTGCTTTTCTTACCAGATTGTTTTAAATTTAAATTGGAAAAAAAGCCTGTATAGTTAGTCCTTGACTATAATTGAGACCAGAATTTCTGTTGCTTACAAAGGCAGTTAGCAATAGCACTTAGACTTATATACCGCTTCACAGTGCTTTACCTCTCTAAACGGTTTACAGAGTCAGCACATTGCCCCCAACAATCTGGGTCCTCATTTTACCAACCTCAGAAGGACGGAAGGCTGAGTCAACCTTGAGCTGGTCAAAATCGAACTCCTGGCAGTGGGCAGAATTAGCCTGCAATACTGCATTCTAACCATTGCGCCACCACAGCTCTTTATTAACTAAGTTGTGCCCATTTTTACAACATGTTTTGCCATGCTTAATAAGTGAATCACTGCAGTTGTTAAGCGAATCACTCAGTCATTAAGCGAATCCAGCTCCTCTCCCCTTGACTTTGTCAGAAGTTGGATGGGAAGGTTGCAAACAATGATCACATCACCCTGGGATAATGCAGCTGTCACAAATACATGCCTGCTGCAAAGCATCCACATTTTGATTACATGATTGTGGGGATGTTGTGACAGTTGTAAGTGCAAGAATCAGCCATAAGTTACTTTTCTCGATGCCCTTGCATCTTGGACCAATCGCTAAATGAATGATTACAAGTCAGGGACTACCTGTATGTGATTTGCAGACTGCAGAGTGGGATTAGCAAGTAATCTCAACTGGGTTTATATCAGAGCATTGTCTTACTTTGATTCTTACATGGGTGCTACAGAATAAGAAAACTGCATGGAAAATATAGACACTAACTATATAGTTCCTGGGAAGGGGTTAGATGCTTATAAACACTGCAAATTGGCCCATGATAACCATGCTGACTGGGGAATTCTGAGAGAGGAAGGCCATCATAATGTGGTCAAGGTTGAGAAACAGTTCTAGAGATTCAATAGGTCCTTAGTCCTAACCCACATTCATCAACTTTGATATATTCTAATTTGCAAGGATAAAAGATTACGTAAATTAAGATGGGAGAAAAAGGGAGAAGTTAAAAACAAAACAGTTTTTAAACTTTATTCTTTTTTTCCCTTTGCCTAATATACATAAACAACAATAAGTAACAATATAGTGATAGCCTTTAGCAGTAAATGTTATGCTTATGATACAAATGTTTGTTACATAACAAATAATTACAATTGTTTATCAATGCCACACTTGGTTCTAGATCAGTGGTTCTCAATCTTTTTAATGCCGCGACCCCCAACCAGTCGTAAGTCGAGGACTAAACCGATCGTAAGTCGAGGACTACCCAACTGGTCGTAAGCCGAGGACTTTCCCTGCCCGGGAGTGCCGCTCATGCGTGGTGCCGCCCCCTGCGCCGGCCGAGGCGTGGCTGGCAAGCGGCAGAGACGGAGCAGGCCAACCACCGGCTGGGCTACCAGCTGGCCCAGCCCAAGGGAGGTAAGGCACCCGCTGGAAAAGGGGGAAAAAATGGCGGACAGCCTTGCTTGGCGACCCCCGTGAAATGGTCGATCGACCCCAAATGGGGTCGCGACCCACAGGTGGAGAACCGCTGCTCTAGATGTAAAATCTAAGCAAACGTATGCTTATCAACATTAACACTTTACAAATCATAATTAAGATTGACATAAACTTTTCTTTATTTTTAAAGGTTTAAATCATCAAGATTCTTCATAATCTGTAGTCAACCCTGTATAAATACCACTGTTTCCAGATAATACAATATATTTGCAGTTTATACAACAATATGGAAAACAATAAGGAAAAAATAAAGCAACTTTGAGCATGGGAAAGAAGCAGAAACATCCCACCCACCAAAAAATCATGGGCTCTATTCCTTTTTGCAGTCCTCAAACACATCCAG